TGAGCGGCGGCGGCAGGTTGATGCACACCAGATCCACATCCGAATGCAGCAGCACGTCATCGATCCGGTTAGTGTAGAAGGGCACGTTCATATCGCGCGCGAGCTCCTCCGCCTCCTCCTGCGTGCGACCCCACAGCGCCTTCACCGAGAAGCCCTCGTTCTTCAGCAGAGGGATGATGACCCGGGTCGTCAGACTGGTGCCGAACACACCCACCCCGGGCAACATGACTGTCGCGCGCGGATGCTCACACACCGGAGGCGGGTGACCCGGCGGGTGCGGGTTCGAACCCGAGCAGGGCTGTTGTGTGAACTATGACCATTGCGCCTTTGGGTTCCTCCCACCTGTATAAAATCAATAACTATTCATTCAAATAATAAAGGTGAGATGGATTCATCTTCCTCATCCTCCTCATCATCATCCACCTGCACACTGCGACCCGCGTCTGCGCATCCCGGTTTGAATACACGCGATGATACAATATTACATTCACAAATGCATTTGTATCCGGAATCTGCGTCGCGTTCCCTCTGTATCATCCAGAAAGACGCGAACGCATCGCTGCCGAGGTCAATACGTGCGCGTCACGTTCCCGTAGAGATGCAAATGAAATCCAAATAGAATTTCCAAAACGTTCCTCCGAGAGCTGTAGCGTCTCCGCACCTCTCGCTATCAATATCGCGATCTTCTACTGCGGCCGGTGCAGAGTTCCGCCCTCCCCGTTAACTCCTTCACAACCGGAGCGAGAATCCGCCAATCCTACTATAGCGAAGGCTTGTCGCGTGAATATTAATCACGCAGCGTGACGGTAGGCAAGGAGGACCGTCTGATTGGCTGACGGCGGGTGGGCGCTGGGTCAGCTGGCGAATCCGAAGACGGCGGAGGCGTGGTTTATAAATATTAATTACGTTACGTAACAAAACGCCGAGAAGGTTACTTAACCTTAAGCAACGTTAGCGTACTTAAACGATTAATATTCATAAGCAAAGCCTGCGCCGTAGTGGGATTGGAAAAGGCAGCAGAATTATGCATACAGCTCGTTTGATCACAGCTGGAGACAGTGACTGCAGTGAATGGAAACACAATAACCCAGCGAGAAGATGACAAATGAATTATTATTAATTTAAAAACGTTTAATAAACGGCAGGGAAGACAATAAAGGGACCATATTGAGTATTAGACCAACAAAAGGTGAAAAAATACATTAAAATAAAAGAATATTTATATATATTTTTGTTTATATAATAATACACATAAACACACAGAAATATGATTATATATAATATATATTGAATATTTTCAATTGTTTATCTTACAATAGTTTGTATAATAAACCAATGTCATATTAAGATAGTACATTTTGAGTGTCAGTGCTTAGCAACATCATATGACCCCTTTAAGAATTTAAAGGCGATTCAAGCCTCCCCACGAGTCAATATTCAGATGGAAACTACAGTAGCAGTGAGTCAATAACGGCCTTGTTTCTGCTGCGGGTGTTTTTGCATTTCCAAAGCTTGCTTACTGCAGAATTGAGGAGGAGGATGATGATTAATCACTGGGCAGATAGTTTGTGACACTGATTCAGAAACTGACCTACGACCCTTCTCATCGCACCTCATCAGAAAAGCTCAAAACTCACTCATCAGATATTGGTTGACTGATTTATTGTTGCTGAAAATAGTAGCATTAATGAAAAGAATAAAAAAAGAAATCAAGTGAAGCAGTGAAAATGCACTCTTTTGAGCCTGCTGTATGCGAGTATGTGGTTGTGTGAAAGACTTTCTATCCAGTGCGTTTGTCTTTGACTCTGTTCCTAATGATTTAATCAGCAGCTGGTGTCTCTGATCTGACTGTGTTGCTGTGGATCATGTGATGAACATGTGTGTGTGAAACAGACCCTAAAACACACAGCAATGTGGGAGAGGAAGATATTGTTTTATATACACAAACTCTGCTTGGTTACTGTAATTAGTTGAGTGAAGGTAAACATTCGCTTTAGAAAGAGATCCCAATAATTTGGAATTAATCCTAACAGTGTCACACAACTATTAAGAATAAGATTCTAAAGTTTAAATATAGAAGAAAATACTGGGGGAAAAATAGGAATTTCAGTTAATATATATATATATATAAAGCAGCTGGTCTGTTATAAGTGCATGGCTGGTTTTACATTGTTTATTCATGCATCCTGAAACCAAAAGAATCAAAGAACAAATATTGATTTGGTGGATGGTTCTTGACCTCAGACTATCAAAAATCAATCATTTAAATTGAAAATAACTGTTCAAAGAAAGAAGACACAGAAAAACACAGCCATCTGCAGCTGGACTGAACCCACACCTTAACTTTGATTTTAAGGCCACTTTTTTTTTTTTAGCGCCACCTGGTGTTAAACACATGAACCATTTTTTTTTTTATTATTTTAATGTTTTATAATGTGTGTGCAAAATTTTTTTCTTTTAATGTGATCTTTATAATTTTAGCTCATACTTAAACTGCATGTATAATAATTATATAAGAATTGTACAAAAAATGTTTAAAATAATTTTAGAAGAATGTCTAATCTACCCATTTTGCTCTGCAAAATTCCCCGTTTCATCATTCCTGGAGCTACTTCCTCTTTCTGTGCATCAAGAGATGAAATGAGACAGAAAGCACTGAAATCAAGACCCATAAGCTCTGACATAGTGTAGCGCTTTTATTTCAATTACTCAGAGGCACGAATTTCACTTAAAAGGGAGATCCTTCACTACACACCCATGAGTAACATCCTACCAGAGTCTGTGACCCTCGCCGAGAGCTTCTCATGACACAAATCTCAGATCAGTTTATGACCAGAGAGCAGCCTCACGGTGAAGACACTCACCTGACTCACGTTCACCCAGTCAGTACATACAGGTGACACACACACACACACACACACACACACACACACACACACACACACA